ATTTTCAGAGATGGGGTCTTACCCTTGCTCAGGCTAGTCTTGAACCCATGAGCTCAGGCAATCCACCCGCCTCGGCCTCCCAGAGTGCTAGAATTACAGGCATGAGCCACTGTACCCAGCCCCACCGTCAGCTTTTTGTGATGAATATTTGGTTTTGGACTATGTTTCAGCACTTTATCTTTATCCAACCATTGTGCCAAATGCTTGCAACAGTCAAAAAGAATCTATTTTTCTGGGTGCAGGACACAATTGTAAGAGGGACTTTACCTAACAAATGCAATCAGTGTAACCTAATTCTTTGTACCCTCAGTGAATCCCAAATGATTTAAAAAAAAAAAAAGAAAGAAAATTAGTCTGTTTAAGATATAAATACAACTTGTCCCTTCAAAAATATAGCTCAATAAAATAACCTTGCCAAATCGTTTTTGGCATTTTTAATATACCATTGAGTAGATCTAGAGAATGAAATTTAAAAGATTTAACATTTTGAATATAGAATCCTTAAAAATAATGGAAAAAAATATAAAATCACCAATATTGGAGGCTAGAACTGTAAAGACTCCATCAAAAATGATATTATAGGGGCCTTTCTCATCCAGTCACCCCTTCAACAAGGCTCTTTCTCATTCTCTTTTCCAAATCTAAGCTCAGCTAAAGTCTCGCCTCCTTCATGAAAATGTTTGCATCTATACCAACTCACAGATATTTCTGTTCACTAAAATGCTAGTCCATCCAATTTACTAAAATTGTTAATTTCAACAATTCAATTTGTAGTTTTGCCTACCCAATTAGGTGAAAAGCCCAATTAGAGATAATATCTTACCTTTGTTTAGTCGTACTTGTACTTTACAAAGCTAAATACAGTTTTGTGGACTTAGAGACCAACAACAACAAAAAAGAATCCATTTTTCATAACTTGTAATAATACAGTGTAGAAATGGTTTGCCTTTATTTCATAACACCAAAGAAAGGCAAACTTCAAGGCAGTTTTTCTTCTGACGCTAGTTTAAGTTATGTGGGAGCTATCTATCCAGACTCTTTACCTTGCTGATTTGTCCAGTATGTCAAACCTTGCTGCTAATTCACACATAGGCTGTGATGGCATCGCTTCCGCTGTAGCTTTCAGCTCATTTTCCACGTTGGTCTCACGTTGCTCCCATGGCTCAATTTCAAGATTAAAAGTGCAAGAACAGAAATTCTCAAACCATCTGTGTATTATGTGTTCATTAGCTATATCCTTCCCAAACACTTCACTAACAGAGCTCTCTGTCTGCATTGGTTCCATGATGGAACTCATAAATAACATGATTTTTCACATATGCCCAGTTTCACAAAAATTGCTCTAAAAGAAATTGAAAAAGAATCACAAGCCAAAATGTGTTTGAAAGAATAAGGATGTACCTTTACAATAAAAAGAAAACAAGAAATGTCAAAGTGAAAATCAGAGATCTCCACTCTTAGTATTTAAGGAAATCTAACATTTCATAATTAACAAACTATATACATCTCAAAACCAATTTTTAAATACTTGAAATAGATCAGGAAATTGGTAAAGAATAAAAAAGAAATCCAGTCTAAATTTTAGCAAAATAAAAGGATAAAAAAAATTGATGGAAAAAACAGATATACTCTCTCCCAGCTATAGCAATACCTTTAATTGTATCACACACACACACATAGAAATAGTGGCCTAGATATTATAACTATGGATTTTATTGGCACTGCTACTAGAGTATCAACCTAGAACAGAAGAAGTATTACTAGAGACATAACAGGCCTGGGCTTGAAAACCAGAAAGTTGGAATAAAAAGAATTAACTAAGCTTTCATTTGCTACTAACCTTGCGGTGAAAGAAGTTATAAAATTTCTTGGAAAATAGGATTCAACAAATTTCATAATTCTTAACAACTTAAAAATGTATAGAGGAAAAACATTGTCAGTAAGGATAAACTTGTGGATGCTGTCCTTAGAAAAGGAAACCATATAAACACAAGGTGGAGTGAAGTTACCGTGTAAAATTGCAAGATCCCAGAAGCATGCATCAATCAAATTCTTTGTACCTCACATTATTTCTCCATATTTTGTAGGTGAAGATATTAATCTCTCCACAGAAATTTTGGGAGGATAACATGCAAGAGTTATTATGAAAATATTTCTAATTTTAGGAGGAAAGTTGTAATAAACTTTCTGATGTAGTTAATACTATATTCTATAAGAGACTATTATATTCCTAGTTAAAATTCTAGGTGTATTAAAAAAAGTTACCAGATTTATCTTATTAAATGAGAGTACCTTAAAAATAATGACATTTTAATCATAATGCTGGTGATGTTATTAATCATTACTCAATTAGCTTTCAAATTGACTAAAAGATACAATGTAGTATTTTCAGTGGGAAAGACAAAATTTCTAAGTAAAATAGGATCATATTAGGGACTATATAATTACCCAGTGCTGTTTTGACCTGAATTATAGTATGTAATCTAATTCTAACTGCCACAATTAAATCAGATTTTGAGGAAGTACCATTAAGATTAAATATGAGAACTAAAGAGCTTCTGCACAGCCAAGAACACAGTAAGTAAGGCAAGCAGACAGCCCTCAGAATGGGAGAAGATTTTCGCAGGTTATGTCTCCGACAAAGGTTTAATAACCAAAGTCCATAGAGAACTTAAACGTATTAGCAAGAAGACAACGAGTGATCCCATCTCAGGATGGGCAAGGGATTCGAAGAGAAATTTCTCTGAAGAAGATTGGTGCACGGCCTACAGATATATGAAAAAATGCTCACCATCCTTAATCATCAGAGAAATGCAAATCAAAACTACTTTGAGATATCACCTAACTCCAGTAAGATTAGCCCATATCACAAAATCCCAAAACCAGAGATGCAGGCGTGGATGTGGAGAAAAGGGAACACTCCTACACTGCTGGTGGGAATGTAAACTAATAAGTTCCTTTTGGAAAGACATCTGGAGAACATTTAGAGAACTAAAAATAGACCTGCCGTTTGACCCTGCAATTCCTTTATTAGGTATATTCCCAGATGACCAAAAATCGCATTACAACAAAGATATTTGTATCAGAATGTTTATTGCAGCCCAATTCATAATTGCCAGGTCATGGAAGAAGCCCAAGTGCCCATCGATCTACGAATGGATCAACGAATTGTGGTACATGTACACCATGGAATACTGTGCAGCCATAAAGAAAGATGGAGACTTTGCGTCCTTCATGTTCACATGGATGGAGCTGGAAAATGTTCTTCTTAGCAAAGTATCACAAGAATGGAAGAAAAAGTATCCAATGTACACACCCCTATTATGAAACTAACTTATACCTTTTATGAAAAGGTTATGAAAGCTATAACCTAGTAACAGCCTAAGAATACGGGGAGAAGGGAGGGAGAGGGGAGGGGGAATGGGTGGAGGGAGGGGGATTGGAGGGATCACTTCTGAGGTTTATCTTACAAAGGTACAAGTGAATCTTTCTAAGAGTAGAATGTGAACATTTTAAAACAATAACTAAGAAAATGACATGAAGGCTATGTTAACCAGTTTGATGGAAGTGTTTTGGATTGTGTGTGAAAACCCCACACTGTACCCCAGAAGTGCATTAATGTACATAGTTACCATTCAATAAAAAAAAAAGATTAAATATGAGAAAATAGCCTTAATTATTATAATGAAACCATGAATAGATATGCCAATAAGAAGGTGACCAATGGCTAATTCAGTAATCATTTTCAGATATATATGGAAAGTTTTAAATAAATGGTTATGAACTCTTCTGTCTGATTATAAAAATGACAAGAATAAAAAATAAGGAAATACAAGGTAGTTTTAGGTTATTTCAGAGAATGAGAGTAAAGAATAAATGCAGTCGTAAGTTTTGGAAAATATATTCTTAACCTTAAAAATCTTAGTTGTAAAATTTTGGGAATAGTATAATCTCTTTGTTTTCAAATGATAAAAATGAGATAATTTTACCAGATCAAAGTAATGTATTCAATTAGTGACAGAGCATGAATCAAACTGTCATTTGAAAATTCAGTCTTTCTTTGAGGGGAAGGGAGATAGTCTCACTCTCTTACTCCATTGCCCAAGCTGGAGTGTCATGGTGTCAGCCTATCTTACAACAGCCTCACACTCCTGTGTTTTTCTATTTTTGGTAGAGATGGGATCTTGCTCTTGCTCTTGCTCTTGCTCTTGCTCAGGCAGGTCTCAAACTCCTGAGCTCAAGCAATCCACCCGCCTCTGCCTCCCTGTGTGCTAGGATTACAGGTATGAGCCCTTGTCCTCAGTCAGACCTTTGATTCTTGATTCTAGTCTTCTAGTGCTTTCCCACTGTTTCATGTTTCTTATCTAATCATTTAGTTTGAATGTGTCCCAGAAATTGATAAATAGCTCTGAAAGACTTTTCTCATTTGAAATGTCTGTGATTGTCAACGGGTCTATTAACTTGATCTCTACAGCATCTTCCCCTCTGCTGTCCATATCCAAAAAACCTTGTTTTATTTCTTTTTTGTTTTGTTTTGTTTTTGTTTTATTTCTTATGCAAAAAACCTTGTTTCAGATTTCTTGAGAAGTAAGAGTCCAAGTCTAATTCTCACTCAATTCTTAAGGCTCTCATGTATTAGACTTTTGAATATAAATACACTAGATATTTTTTTAGTTGATCTCATTGAGCTCTTGCAACTATATAAAATATGAAGGAACTGAAGTTAGACCAAAAAGGTAATTTGACCATGATCAAATCCTTTAAAATTCTTAATTTATTCTGAGTCCACATTGAGTGCATTTTCTTAATCCACTGCACTAACCATTATAATAAAAGCATCAGTTAGAATGCCTAACTCGTATAGCAATTAGTGACTCCCTTATCGTAACAATTTCATTCCTAAATTGTAAAGATCAAAATGATTGATCTTTTTCTTGAATATATTTAAAACAAGCATTCATTGCAATTCATCTACTTTCTCTTTTTTTTTTTTTTTTCAGGCCTGTATGTGGAATCAGAGGGAAAACTCTCATAATTAATCTACCAGGTAGCAAGAAAGGATCTCAGGTAAGCCACCTTGATATTTATATAGTATACTGTAAAGACCTTTGGCCAGCTGTGAGAATTGGCCAGCCAAAAAGTTGGAGCACTCCACAAGACTATTCTCACTTCTGACACCAATTGTAATTCACTAAAGTCCCAAAATGACCCTTAGGTTCAACAAATAACTAGAACAACTCATAAAATTCACTGAAAGATGTTGCTGACCTGAGCTTTTGGTCTCTGGAGTCTTTTTGAGCTCATTATATACTGCCCAGGTTCCTGACCTTTAGTCTTTAGTCCTCAGTGGTTATATTGATACCTTTAATCTTCTATACCTTCCAGGAGCAAAACTGGATCTGTGATGACCAAAGTCCCTTTTATAAATCACAACATTAGACTGATTACTCATATAAACAAAAACATTCCTATCAAGTGTGACATTCCTTAGACCTACAGATCATTTCCTTGTAGCCAAGAGCAAAAGCCAGACTCTGCCAGCACAGTGGCTCATGCCTGTAATCCCAGCACTCTGGAAGGCCGAGGCAGGAACATCCATTGAGCTCAGGAGTTTGAGACCAGCCTGAGCAAAAGTAAGATTCCATCTCTACTAAAAATAGAAAAATTAGCCTGGTGTAGTAGTACGTGCCAGTAGCCTCCCAGCTACTTGGGAGGCTGAGGCAGGAGGATGGCTTATGTCTAGTGGTTTGAGATTGCTGTGGGCTAGGCTGATACCACGGAAGTCTAACCTGGGCAACAGAATGAGACTTTGTCTCAAAAAATAAAAAAGCCAGACTCTTTGGGTAATACCAATTCTTCACTACACAGCCTTCCTTCCCCCCATTCCGGCCTTTGGCCAAGGTTTTGTATTGCAAAATAATCGTGTTTGTCTGGGCATCTGTATTTATTATAGCATTTAAATGATAGATGCAGTAATAGTATAAGTGTGACTATGCCTAGGATTTTGGAGGAGGCAGCTTGGGATAGATTTAGAGAAATAGCTAATCCATTCTCTAAACTCAAGAAATTACATATTCATATTTTTGTTCTAATTTACTAATTTACCTTCTTGTGCTACCATTATTTGTACTATGTGATATGCTTATGCAGGACTATATACTGTAAAAATTAACTAATGGATAACTAAATAGAGTTGTTCCTCAGGCTTGTCATTTTTCATTGATGTTATATCTTGCAGAAGCTTTAATTCAATTTTCCAATACATTTGACCATACCCTAAAAAATAACAGTGGGAATATACTGACAAATTATTAGAATACCCCTCAGACATTAGCTCATTTATCATCACATTATATGACCAAAAAGTCTCCCAGATTGATACTACCTAGGTTTGCAGGCTTATCAGATTCCAAAAGCAGGAATGGTTTCAGCAACATATAGCTTATCCTTTCAAGTATGTTATAGCTGAGGTAAGACACAGTGTCATCTCTTGGTGTGAACCTTTAGATACCAATCTAATATTATTTCCCTCAATGTATAACTTATTCATTAATCCTTTGTCCTCAGCTACCATTCTTCCTTCTCTCCATTTATATCCATTTTTAAATGGGATGTTGAGTTCAGCCACTATACCTGTTCAGATTGCCAGCTATATTACTAGTTTAACAAGTTCCTTCTGCCTGGTCTTTGCCTATTCATAAAGGGTAGGCTTACAGAGGTAAAAAAAGAAATAGAGTACCTTAACCCATTGGGCAGTGTAACTGCATTCACTATCAACCCTAATTTGACCATATGGAGGGAAGGCAGTAGGCAACCCATCAGGTTCTTAAGCTTTCTGATATAAAAAGTTTTAAGATATAGAGGTGGTGCCTGTGGCTCAAGGAGTAGGGCACCAGCCCCATATACCAGAGGTGGCATGTTCAAACCCAGCCCTGGCCAAAAACTGCAAAAAAAACAAAACAAAGTTTAAGATATAATCATAGTTTCTTGCTTAGTAATCATCTCTGCTTCTGGTACCCACAGTTGCAGCCTTGGTCCTTGGGACTTCTTCATCAAGTAAAGAACAAAGTGAAAGTTTAAGTAATTTGGGGGACAAAAACATAAATTAAAACCAGCTTCCTTCCCCAATCTTCTCTTCCCTGAAAAAGTGAGGAATCTATCTAATGGAGACCTTCTACCCTTACCCTTCCCAGACCTGCATTGAATGTATTCACGTACTTATGAAGGCCTGTAAACCAGGTAGAAAATGTGTTCCTTAGTCAAAATAAATGTTAATAGTTTGTCAAAAGGATTCAGTCTATAAAATTTGGATTAAGTCAGAAAGCTGCCCTCAAGGATCCAGCAGACCACATGTGGCCTCCATGCAGGTTCTTCATCCCTGCTCTATTTTGATCCTTTTATGGCAGCGGCCCTCAACCTTTTTGGCACCAAAGACCAGTTTCTTTCTTTTTCTTTTTTTTTGTTTTTGTTTGGTTTTTTGAGACAGAGTCTCACTTTATCATCCTCAATATAGTGCCATGACATCATAGCTCACAGCAACCTCAAACTCTTCGGCAAATGATCCTCTTGCCTCAGCCTCCCTGGTAGCTGGGACTTCAGGCACCTGCCACAACGCCCAGCAATTTTTATTTTTTTATTGAGACAGAGTCTCACTTTGTTGCCCTTGATAGAATGCCAAGGCATCACAGCTCACAGCAACCTCAAACTCTTGGGCTCAAGCTATTCTCTTGCCTCAGCCTCCTGAGTAGCAGGGACTACAGGCACCCATCATCACACCCAGCTGCTTTTTTAGAGATAGGGTCTCACTCTTGCTCAAGCTGGTCTCAAACCTGTGAGCTCAGGCAGTCCAACCAACTCTGCTTGATTACAGGCATTAGCAACCACTCCCAGCCAATACTAAGCTATTTTTGGAGATGGGGTCTCATTCTTGCTCAGGCTGGTCTTGAACTCCTGAGCTCAGGCAATCCACTTGTAATGCTGAGATTACAGACATTAGCCACTGCACCCAGCCCACCAGGGACCATTTTCATGGAAGACAGTTTTACCACAGGCGACCTGGGTGGAAAGAGGTTGAGCTCAAGTCAATGATGCCAGTGATGAGGAACAGCTATAAATCCACATGAAATCTCACCAACCAGCCTAGTGCAGTAGTGGCACCAGTTAGGCAGTGGAAATTAGAACTAACTCACGTGTGTAGTAGCTGTCAATTTAGCTCTTATGGGTTACTAATATACTAATTGCATCATTCAATCCGGGAGGATTATTTAGTTGAAATTTATTTTAGTCTTTGGTATTTTAAATACATTACTTTTAAAAAGAAAATAAAAATGTGAGAGATGAACAAAAATGTATTAATAAAATTAAAAGGATTTGTTGTCAGATCCCCCACCCCTAATCTCGATTCAGTCCATCTCTGCATTGCTGCAGCCCCCTAGTGTCTACTCACCTCATGGGCTCAGGTGACCACATCACATAAGTACACAGAGATGTCTGCTCCCAGGTTCTAATTAAATTCCAAATCTGTAAAGGAGTTCTGATGAACATTAACATATCCTACTTTAAAGTACCCCTTAAATTCCCAGAGTAATTTTCACAGGCTTACCAACTCTTTAGATCAGCTTTCCATTGTGCTTCTGCCTGATAGTATGACAGGACTGTTGAACATGCTTATGAGTCAATAAAATCCCAAATGTAAGGGAAAGCTATAGTTCAGCTCATCAAGTTCATTTATTTCTACCTTCTTCAGTCAGAGTAACAACATTCCAAACAGGACACTATCTGTTCACTTTGGAACTGCCTTCTGTAAATAAGGCAGCTCTTTCATGGTCAGTATAGAGGTGTTCATAGGGTATTGCCCAAGTGCCCCAAGTACCACAGGATCCATCAGTTCCTCATCCAGGTTATAAATTCATCTCCATAGAAAATAGACTACCTGCTTGTGAGGACCTCCCTGTATTCCCCTGAGTATGATCCTATATGCTCTATTCCTATTTTATTATAGAATTCTTCTGAGCCCTGCCCTCTTCTTTAGAGTATGTCCCTGACATTACATAAGACATTATGGGAATTAGAGATTTCAAGATTATTTCTTTCAGTCATAGAGGCAGTCTCAATTAAAGTTCAGTGACAAGCTAGTAATTGCCTCTCAAATGGAAATTTTCTGGTCCAGAATCCCAGCAATTGTCACTGGGTAGCAGTCACAAGTTTTTGCCATGAGCTCCAGCCTATACTCCACATAAGGTTACTGCATGGCAAATTACTGGTTTGTGTGGACTCAGGCAATCTTTATTTGTTCCTATTTAACATGTCTAGGCAATACTAGCATAAGGATGATTTACTTGCCTTCTGTCTTACAACGCTAGGTAAGGGAAGCATTTCCCATGCAAACATAATATCCATGTCCATGATATATTTAGGTAAAAGGGACTTAAACACTTCACATGAAATTTGTTATTTAAGTATTCTAATATTTGTATTTTCACCTTAATCCCATCAACTGTTTCATTATTATTTTCTCTCAAACCACCTATTTCTCCCCCCCAAAGGGATTTCAATAGTTTTGAAATTCACAGTTGACTTTCATGTATAAGAGTCCCAGAAAATTTTCATCTCTACTCCCTAACCATTTTACCCATTACGGCCTTGGATCTCCAGCTCTGGGTCTCTGGCTCAGGTAAAGGGACCCAGACCATTTTGTCAGTTCTATACTTGATTAGATTATGAGAAAATCACCTCAGGCAATTTAAGGTCATGTTTCTTATGAGCATCTTTGCCTTTTAGCTTTTAAATTTCCTCCAAACTAAATAGGCAAGATTTATTTAGGACTTTTCAATGATCAATATTGGTAGACCAGCAAGGACTCCCATCTGTTCACCCAACCTATGACAGTGTTAGACCAAAACCTTTGTTTTACCCCTTTCATTGTTCACTGTATTCATTTTTTTTAAAACCATTGAAATATTTCTGCCCTCTGGGACAGGTCCCTTGAATTTCCCCATTTTCTTTCCCATTCTCTTCCGAATAAGTCTAACTTTTGTCATTATGTGTAGTTTCTTATTTTTTTTTAT